TAGCTAAATATTCAAATCTATGCAGTTTCGATAATTTTCTATTGTTTAAACAATAGAAAAATCACTGAAATCACATATACAGGTGTCTCTAATTCACAATTTATTTCAGAAATAAACACGTGATACGTTAGCATTGATTTTTTCCTGAAAACAATGTTTGAAGTCTGATAGATAATACTAATTTGATCATTAATAACATGTCAGCTATGATATTTCAATCAAATTACCTAAGAGTTGGATAAAATTTAAAACATTTGGCACAAAGAGTGAAATAAAGTTTACTATAAATTGTGTTTGTTTTGATTATAATTAATAGTATATTTTGAAAATACAGTGCTGTAAAGCTAACAATGACTAAATATTTACTATTCATATCTGCCTTGAAATAAGCAGACAAGACAAGATTTTTGTGAATAGTTTTTCTTTCACATAATTTAGTTTTATGCATTTCAATCGTCAATTTTAAAAAAATTAAACTTATCAGGATAAAAACTAAATTGAACTCCTACAGCCCCCATGGATGTAGGAGTTCAAAATCAAGTAAAAAAATTAAAACTGGTTCTGAATAACATTAAAGTCTCATATTCAATTAACAACTAATAAAACGGCAGCATTTTATAGGACTGGAGCCTTATGTATTAGGTTCAAAATTTAAAAAAAAAAAATTATCAAAATAATATGAGGTTGAGTCAATAGAATCAAGCAAATTTTTTTTAAGTAAATTTTTTTGAAACATTAAACAAAAGTATTTTAACAAAAATTATTAATTTTAATAAATTTTTTTTTAAATAATATTAAAGTTTGTAGAATTCATTTAAATAATTTTTTATTAAATTCGATTAAGTTATTGTTAAGTTATTGTTGTTTAAAGTTTCAAAAAATTTCAATAATAGAATTATTTGGCACCGAAATTAGAATTTAAATAAAATTATGTATAATATTGATATTATACGTGAAATAGCTCTATTTCTTTGTTTTATCCTGATAATCATCATACTTTTACTAAGCAACTTATAATGGATAAATTATATATATCAGACTAACTTGGTCAAACTCTACACAAAAAAGCTCTTGTGTTAGTGAACTTTTTCAAAATAAAAATAAATAGGTTTTAGAGACCCTATATGATATTCGTTACGAAGGAATGAATGATTTACTTAAAGCATATAAGACCAACTTCGCAGCGCATAAGAAAGGATTTAAAATCAAGTACCGAAGCAAAAAAGCGAATCTGAATCAATTGTCATTCATTCTAAACATTGGAAGAAAGCTGAAGTATTTTATCCAAAAACATTCAGTACAGGGTCTATTCAAGGAGCAGAGCCATTTCCTGATAAGTTAAATTATGATTGTCATCTTCAGAAAACAAGATTAGGTGAATTTTTTCTCTGCTTACTTATGTCACTTGAAATTAGGGGTAAAAATCAAGCCTCTTATTGGACAAAGATTGAAGAAAGAATACTTGCATTAGACCCAGGTGTTGGAACATTTCTTGAAAACAAAAATTTCGAGTTTTTAAAATTTATTAAATATAGCATATTGCATTTTTCTCTTTTAATTATTTTTATATTTTCAGTTTAATTAGAGTTAAGCTTGATATTTCATTGCTTTGCGCAATCGAAATCTTGTGATTTTAAAGAACTTGCATTTTGGTGGCTCCCTTTAATTATCTTCTGCATCTATTTTGGATGGTTTTCTGATTTGAATTACATTAGATAGCTTTTGAATTAACAACAAGATTGTCATATATATTAATGTTGAACAAGTATTCAAGATTCATTTAATGTAAATATTATAATAATTATTGATATATTGTGAGAACATTCCTTGTAAATCTTTTGGATCTTTGTTTGATAAAAAAATATCATTCATTCCTTTCGT